TTAAATATAAAAAGATATCAAAGAGAGTTCTGATTAAAAAAAAAGAGCTTTTATTGAAAGTTTCTTGAGGGAGAGAACTGAAAGCCATTTCGGGAAAACGCTCACACAAAAAAACCACGAGAGGATTTTTTTTTTCTCTAATCACTACTCCTTAATTTGATTCCAAGGTTTACAGTGGTTGAACTGATTTTTTTATGGTTTAAAATTCCCTCAAGGGATACCAACACCCCCCCACACACACACACACACACACACCACTCACTCGCCCTCACCCTCACCCGCACCGGATTAATCTCCCAAACTCTCTCCAATCCCTTTTCTTTTAGCAGCTGAATTCTGTCTTGGGTTTTTTTCTTTGAAAATCAGGAATCCGTCAATGCAAAAAAAAAATAAGAAAATGTGGTGTTTTTAATCGTAATGTTTTACTGTAAATGCTATTATAGGTGTCAGTCCGACTCAGTGGGTAACGCTCACAACACTGAGTCAAAAGGTTGTGGGTTCAAGCCCCCACATCGGGACTTTGAGCTCCCAGTCCAGGCTGATGTTGCAATGCAAAACACACAGTCACTACACTTCACAGTGAATCCTGTGAAGTGCTTTGTAACGTCGGCTTGTATTGGAAGAAAGGAATGCAGGGATTATAAAAAGAGCAATCAGGATGTGATTTTCGAACTGTGTGAGATGAGTGAGTGTAAGTGTGTGCGTGAGTAAACGTGTGAGTGAGTGCGTGTCTGAGTGTGTGAGTTGAGTGAGTGTGTTGGGTATGTGAGTTGAGTGTGAATTTGGGCATGAGGATTTGTGCGCGTGTGTGAGTGTGTGCGTGTGTGCGCGCGTGTGTGTGTGTGCGTGTGTGAGTGCATGTGTGAGTGTGTGCGCGAGTGGCTTAACGCTGTGCTGTGGGTGTGCTGCATTATTAGAAATTGTGATCGTTCAGATGAGACGTTAAACCGAGGCCCCATCTGTGCCTATTCAGACGGATTTTAAAGATCTCGTGCCACAATTCAAAAAGAAAAGGGAGTTTCTCTCTCTCTCTCTCTCTCCTCCCCCGGTGTCCTGGTCAACAATCCCCCAAATGAAGTTTTATTGTTAAATTGTGGGACATTGCTGTTCTCAAATTAGCTGCTGCATTCGCCTACAGAGTACGCACAGTCACTACACTACAGTAAATCCTGACGTGAAAGGCGCAGTGTCAATGCAAGGATTATTCCTAATATTATTAGCTGAGTCTCGCAAATAGAGGAATTTCCTTCCTGGAAACGGAAATACTGGAATGTTGACCCCACGGGAGCTCCTTCCCGATGGGATCTGCTTCGGGAGCGTGAAAAGGAATCTAACGGGAATACAGAAACCCTCCCCCCAAAATTAGACCCAACAAAGACAGCATCACAAAGCCTTTCTGTTTGTAATTTCTGCCCTCTGGCGGAGGAAGTTGCCTATTCAAGTAGAATGGGAATTTGGGCTTCTCAGTACAGTGAAACCTCATCAAACGCTTCATAGTAATTATTAATAATAATAATAATCCTTGCATTTGATACAGCGCCTTATCACATCGTTGAGACTGTATATTTCGTGAAAATGAATTGACTGTGTATTTTGTGGGCAAAACTCGGCAGCCAATTTCACACAGCAGCGTCCCCACAAACAGCCGTGGATTGAGTGACCAAATTATTATTATTTTATTTTTGGAGGGATTATTACCCCCGGAAAGCAATCTGCCAATCGACTAACAACCGGGTTCCTGCTTACTGTTAGTTACCCCAGTGCACACTCTGGGCTCTCCCCAAGCCTTGGCTCTTGCCAACCTGCGCCTAATACTGTCTGGAATTAGGTAAACAGGATGTGTCCCTCCAGGGAGACAGAGAAGAGAGAGAAAGAGATAGAGAGAGCGCAATCCATTCCAACAATCTACCTCTGGGGTTTCCATGTGTAGATGGGATGCATAGAATTCTCAGCTTGGTTTGGAGACTCTTAAGCAACAGTGGTGGGTTTCCCACCCGCCTGAGCAAAAAAAACCTAAGACACAACGGAACTTCAGGTCCTGTGGTTCCCAAAAAAACAGGAGCCAGGGTTTTATTTTTACCTCCAGCAGTGTACCATCCTGCACGAAACAGCTCCGGAAAAGCAGTGCCAGGCTCCGAATGGGAATAGAATGGGATCTTCTGGCTATTTTCTGCACTTCCTGCCATGCGTGGGGTGGAAGCCGGCTGATCTCTATCCTCCCGCACCCTTGCGTTGGCCTCTCTCGCTATCGGCAGCGGAAAGCAAAGCCAGGAAGCTCCAGTTGGGTTTTTGCCAGGCACCCTCATGTGCAGACCTGATATCAGTGACTATGACAGTCTATTCAACAAGGACATTAATCTGTTTTATTACTAAACTATTTTAGATTCTTCCAATGTCCCCATCCTCACTCCTCCCCGACAAGCACCACCCCCCACCCCACTCTGTCCTTCCACCTCCTCCTCTTCCTCTCCAGAGGCTCCAACTTCCACCCAGTCTTAGCCGGTGACACCAAACACTGTGTCTTAAACTCTGAGATGCACTGAATTCTCTCCCCTCAAAGATGGTCGATTATGGCTGGATCCATTTACATTTTCAAGACTGAAGTGCACAGATGTTTGTTAGGTCAGGGGATTGAGAGATATGGGGCAAAGGCAGGTAATTGGGGTTGAGGTACAGATCAGCCTTGATCTAATAGAACGGAGGAACAAGCTCGAAAGGCTGAATGGCCTCCTCCCGCTCCTATGTTCCTAAATGACGTAAGTTGGGACAGACTGGCTCAGTGGGTAGCTCTCTCACCTCTGAGTCAGAAGATTGTAGGTTCAAGCCCCCACGTCAGCCTTTGGACTCACAATCTAGGATGACAACAACAACATATTGCATTTATAATAATATTAATAATCCTTGCATGTGATATAGCACCTTGTTGAGACATCTCAAAGCAGTGCACAGAATACATTGTAAAGTGGATTGACTGTATATTTTAGTGGATGAAACGCGGCAGCTAATTTCTCACAGCAGTGTCCCACAAACAGTCGTGGATTGAGTGACCAATTTGTCTTGTTGTCGTTGAAGGATTATTACCCCCAGAAAGCGATCCGCCAATCGACTAACAACCTGGTTCCTGCTTACTGCAAGGTAAACTAGGTAAAGAAACTTGCGTAAGGTTTCACCCCGCCCGGGAATCGAACCCGGCTTATCTCACTTATGAGCCAAAAGCGCTAACCACTACGCTAAAGGACTCCATTTATATCAGCGCCTTTCACATTGGGAGGACGTGCCAAGGATTATTATTATTATTATTATTATTATTACAAGCCAGCAGCTCCCAATGTTGCCTAACAGTCAGTCCAACCTCTTGCCTATCTCACTTATCCTTGACCCACTTCCCCTCCATCCTCTGAGGACAAACACGCTCTCTTTCCCACATCTTCCTGGCCGGAGGTCGTGATGTATTGTTTTCGCTCTGAACCAGAGTCTTGTGATATCAAGAGTTGTTTGTGTAAATTCCGAACTCCAACTTCTTATTCCCACCCTCTGTCCCTCCATCCCGCCCTCCCTCCACATCCCCACACCCCCCCACCCCCTCCCCATTCCATCCACCCTCAATAAACCAATGCATATCCTGCTTGTGGGGCGCTGTTGGCTTGAGACACCGAGATACATCCACAACACTATAAAGCCAAGACATTAAACAGCAGTCAGAAAATATTAAAGGAAAGGGAGACCACAAAGCAAGGCTGAGGGTAAGGGCTGATCTTTTACTTGCGAAGCTACCTTTAAGCATTCAGTCGTTCATTCGCTGTATTCTTGCGCAACGATGTAATCCTTGCTTTCGAAATTATTTAATTACATTAATATGCAATAATAATATTCCTTGCATTTGATACAGCGCCTTATCACGTCTTCGAGACGTCTGAAAGCGCTTCACAGGATAAGCTGTAAAGTGAATTGACTGTGTATTTTGCGGGCGAAACGCGGGAGCCAATTGTGCACAGCAGCGTCCCCACAAACAGCCGTGGATTGAGTGATCAAATTATTTTTTCTCGAAGGGATTATTGCCCCAGGAAAGCGATCCTCCAATCGACTTAACAACCGGGTTCCTACTTACTGCTCGGTAAAAAGAGACGTGTGGAGTAAGGAAACTTGCCTGAGTTTTCGCCCTGCCCGGGAATCAAACCCGGGTCCTCTCGCTTACCATTACCCCACAGGACTCCACACTGTACTGTAGAGACGGGTTGTGTATGAGATAGCGCAGTGCACAGCCCAACCCCCTCTCTCCCTACATCATGTAGCACTGCACATCGAGTCAGTCCCATTAAGTGAATGCCTTGTATTGGTTTCCTGGGCACAGGAGAGGAGGGGAGCGGAGGGGAGGGGTGGGCAGTATGGAAACTGGATAAGATAGACTGACTCCAGGAGTTTATTTCCTACAGGAAGTTGAGGAGGAGCTGGCTCAGAGCCTGGGGACTTTCCAACGTAAACAGATTAAACAGTTTATAGCCTGGGCTCGGGTGACGAGCTCTCTCTGGCAGTGTAATGAGGCTCTCTTAAGAACATAAGAATTTGTGGGGACGAAAAAACACTAAGGTCCATCCAGTTCACCTCCCACCATCCAGCCAGTCGCTTGATACGTCATGTCCCAAACTACATATTGTATCCATCCCGAGATATTATTTCCTGACAGAAATCGATCTAATATAAGAAACCTCTCTTGCTTGATTCCCGCCAGCGACTCCTCATCTCAAGCTCCGACCACGTCGATCTCCTCCACCCCCCCTCCCATCTTTCTATCTCTCTATTCCTCACTCTGGTTTTCTGCCTCTGTCTCTCTGTCTGTCTCTCTATCTCTCACTCTGTCTCTCTGTTGCTCTGTGTCTCTCTTGCCCTCCGGAGAGCCTTGTGTGTGAGCCTTTGTCTCTGTCTTCCTTGACTGTCCAGCACGTTGGGACGTCCTCCCGATGTGAAAGGCGCTATACAAATGCAATTTGTTGCTGTTTCAGAAACAGAAGGAGCCAGGCAGTCGGCAGCGGGTGAACATGGAGGGAGCGTTGACAGCCCGGGACAGAGTGGGGGTGCAGGACTTTGTCCTCCTGGACTCTTACACCAGCGAGATGGCTTTCCTCGACAACCTTCGCAAGCGTTTCCGCGAGAACCTCATCTACGTAAATATGCCTTTGCTCGCACGCACCAACCGCATCTGTGACGCGCCTTTGAGACGTCTCGACGACGCGATAAGGGGCTACATCAAATGCGTGGATTATTATTAATATTATCATTAACCCCCAGCGTCCCTTTGCTGCTCTTGACACGAGTCTGTCTCCTTATTCGTCAGACGTACATCGGGACATTGCTGGTGTCTGTCAATCCCTATAAGGAGTTGGAAATCTTTACCTGCAAACAAATGGAGCTGTACCAAGGCGTGAATTTCTTTGAGCTCCCGCCTCACATGTAAGTTGGGAGTCAATCCAATTGAGCACATAGTCTGTGAAGCGCTTTGAGGCGTCTCAACCATGTGATAAGTTGCTGTTTCAAATGCAAGGATTATTACTGTTATTATTATTATTGCTATTACTTTGGATGCAAAGCTGTGAGATGCAGATGTTGACCCCATACTGATCCGATTCCCACGCACCCCCTTTCCCCACCTCCCCACCCGCTCACCTGTTGCCTTTAGCTACGCCATTGCTGACAACGCCTACAGACTGATGTGCACCGAGTACAAAAACCATTTCATCCTGATCTCCGGAGAGAGTGGAGCCGGCAAGACGGAGGCTTCAAAGAAAATTCTCCAGTATTACGCCATGACCTGCCCAACCACAGAGCAGCTACAGATAGTGAGGGACCGTCTGCTTCTGTCAAACCCGGTGCTGGAAGTGAGTACACAACTGGACACGGACTAGACGCGGACTAGACGTAGATTAAATACAGACTGGACATTGGATACATGTGCTCCGGGATGCTACCCTGCGTGGAGGGTCCTGTATAAATGCATGTTGTTGTTGCTGTTGACATGGATCAGACACAGGCCACATTCAATTTGTGCTGTGTGCACAATTAGCTACAGAAAGCACAGAGTCACTACATTTTACGGCAAACTCCTGCAAAGCGCTTTGAAACGTCCTCCCGACGTGAAAGTCGCTGTGTCCGATGTAAGGATTATTGTTGTGGGTACAGTATCTCCGGTTACATTGACATTCCTCGTTTCCTTGTTTGGTTTCAGGCTTTTGGAAATGCCAAGACTCTCCGGAATGACAATTCCAGCAGATTTGGGAAGTACATGGACATCCAGTTCAGCTTCATGGTGGGAGTTCCATCTCTTAGACCCTAATTACTGTGCGCAATCGGCTGCCGTGTTTTGCCCACAGTGCATCCTGTGAAGCGCTTTGAGACGTCTCAATGACGTGATATGGCGCTATATCAAATGCAAGGATTATTATTATTAATATTAAATGGACACGATGAGGTGAGACCCTTATGGAGCCAAAAGTCTTAAGTGTCATGATAATTCATGTGCTCCCCTCTCCATCATTCCGTTGACGGTCCCACTAACCCACCTGCTTGCTCCTTGTTCAGGGAGCTCCTGTCGGAGGTCACATCCTCAGCTATCTGCTGGAGAAGTCCAGGGTTGCCCACCAAAACCACGGCGAGAGGAACTTTCACATCTTCTACCAACTGTTGGAGGGAGGAGAGAACGAGTTGCTGCGTTGGCTTGGCCTGGAACGTAACGCACATCAGTACCACTATCTCGTCCAGGTAACATGGCACATCCACCCAGACTATCCCAGGCAGGCCAGCTCCAACACCCAACTCCTACGGAGAAGTTCCACACGGTTTTAGATCTACATTTATGTCCCTTTTTGAATTGTCCTGAATTTAGGAAATTGTGGAATTCCATTAAGAAATTTCTCAAATCAGACCTCAGGATCTGGAGCCTTCTTCTGCTAGTTTGTCATTGGTTTCAGGATGATGCCCAGGCTCTTATGTTTTGCTGAACCCTCTGTCTTGTGACTCTATCCCTCTCCCCATAGGGACAATGTGCCAAAGTGTCTTCTATCAATGACAAGAACGACTGGAAAACCGTCCGTAAGGCTTTCTCCGTCATTGATTTCAACGAAAACAACATTGACGTGAGTTTGAATACAAGAGCATCAGAGTGTTAATCGCAGCGGGCGGTCACTGTGTGTGTTTGTGTATGGGGGAGGTGTGGGGGGGTGTTGTATGTGTGGGTTTGTGTGTGTGTGTGTTTGTATGTGTGGGTTTGTGTATGTGAGTGGAAAATGGGTGGAAAGGACAGTGAGATACATTTAGTCTATTTGATGCTCCTTCACAGGAAAGGGGAGGACGGTAGAGCAGGTGGGATGAGATCCCATGGGCTAAAGAGCCTTCTTTGACCAAACGTCTCTTGTGATTTCTGTCTTATATTTACGCACTCATGAAATTGAGTTGAATGGAAAAAGTCAATGGCATTTAAGCAGCTTTGATTGATAGCAGACTGGCTCGGTTGGTAGCACGCTCTCTCGCCTCTGAGCCGTAGTGACCAGGAAAGTCCCAGATTAGAACTTGGGTATGTCAAAGCATCGGGGACAGGACAAGAGAGATCATGTTCAGGGTTGCAAAGGAGCAATTTCATGTCAGACACTAAAAACTATTTCTTTACCGAGAGGGTAATTAATGACTGGAACAAGGTTACCAAGAGCGGTTGATGGATTTATTCATTTAATGGAAAAATTAGATCAAATGGACCAAAAAGCCTTCACCTTCTTGAATGTCCCTTGTAATAAAATAATAATCCTGGCATTTGATACAGCTCCTTATCACGTACTTGAGACGTCTCAAAGCGCTTCACAGGATGCGCTGTAAAGTGAATTGACTGTATATTTTGTGGGCCAAACGCGGCAGCCAATTGCACACAGCAGCGTCCCACAAACGGTCATGGATTGATCTTGTGGCCTGTGTCTTTGTGTCCCAGGATCTGTTGGGGATTATAGCCAGCGTGCTGCACCTGGGAAACATCAAGTTCGAGGTAGACAACCGAGGGCACTCGCTTATCACCAACGACACCCAGATCAGGTGGATCTCCAAGGTAAACGGGCTGTAAAAACTTGGAACCGCACAGAATGGGACATGTCCATCTCAGACCATTCTACCTGTCAGGGCTTTAGGTTCGCAGGGTTGAGGTCATGTCCCCACCTCCAATTCTCCTCAGCCAAACAGGCTCCAAAGGCCACAATGCCTAAGATCAGTACAGATTTTTGTTTTGGTCTGACACACACAGAAGAGTATCTAAAGCAAAGTCAGTTCCATACATCCCACCTACACATGTTATGGAATGGAATGCGCACTCTCTCCTTAGAGGGACGTGTCCTGCTTACATTACTCTGGAGCCTATTAAATGCAGACTGACAAGAGGCAAGGCTTGGGTAACCCAGAGTGTGCAACGGGGTAACTACTGAAAGTCGAGGGGCAGGGGTGGGGTGCGGGGATATGAAGAGGGTGAGGGAGCAAGTTGGAGGGTCTCCAGGATACAGTTCCAGAGACTGGAGAAAGACCGCGCAGTACAGATAGCATGCCTTCGGTCATCTTCCTTCCTCCACCCCCCACTTGCTTTCCAAACCTCTCTGATCCCAACTCGCAGCGCCTTGCCCAGCACCTTGGGATGTCCTCCCGACGTGAGAGGCGCTGTGTGAATGCAATTTGTTGTTGTTGTCGATAGGAAACGAGCGCTAATCATTATTGCGTCTTGTTGTTGTCTCAGCTGCTCGGGGTACCTGTCACCATCCTGCAGGAAGCTCTCACTCACAAGAGGATTGAAACCAAAGCTGAGGAGGTATGTGTAGCAACAGGTGCTCAACAATGTGCTGAGGTGTCTTGACTGCTTTCCTGAAAAAAATATCGAGTATTAAATGGACATTAAGGATACCGTTTGCTCTGAAATTGCAATGCAATGAGTGGTGCAGGCTATTGATGTGGGGAAGAGTGGGAGAGTCCATAGAGGGATTGATGAGGCAAAGAGATGCCGATGCAAACCAAACGACAGAAACTATATTTGAGGATTTACCAAGATGGTAGAACAAGAGAACACAGGTTTAGAGTTTCAAAGAGCATTTCAGGACAGACACCGGGAAGTATTTATTTACCTGGAGGGTAAATAATGCCTAGAACAGGGTTGGCAGGAAAATTGTTGAGGCCACAACATTGGACTCACTGNAAAAAAAGCATCTTGATGCTGTGATGGGTGGGGAACAGAAGGGTGGGTGTTCTGTAAGGATGAAATCAGATGGGCTAAAAGGCTTTCTTCATCCCAAACTAAACTTGCCGTCTTGTGAGCTTTGTTCCTTCGCTGGTCATTAATGGACCTTTTGTATTTTGAAGGTTTTGAGCCCCTTAAGTGTTGAGCAAGCGTTTTGTGCTCGTGATGCGGTGGCAAAAGCCATATACGGACGGACGTTCACTTGGCTGGTCAACAAGATCAATGTGTCGTTAGCTAACCGGGTAAGCCTGGGAGTTTATTACAACATTTCCCTTTGATGGATTGCTGTGCAGACTGATGGGAAGAGAGTCAATCCACTTTAGATGCCCAGTGTCTCAATGATAATGTTTATTAAGAAGAATCATGCATTTGATATAGAGCCTTATCACATTGTTGAGACGTCTCAAAGCCCTTCACAGAATAAATTTTAAAGTATATTCTGCGAAGCGCTTTGAGACGTATGGAAGACGTGAAGAGGCGCTATATCAAATACAAGGATTATTTATTATAAAGTGTGTGTGTGTATATATATATATATATAGAGATGTCTGCTCGATAAGGCAACTCCTCAGCGGGACAAAACTAATCTGTCATCTGGGTTTATTAAGAAAGTCATCTTTCCCTTCACTGCATTCCAACGTTGATTATTACTGCCGAGAGAATGACCTCTGCTCAACCCCATTAAACGACATGGTCGTGTCTACAGTACAGCTCTGCATGAGCGAGGAAATACAATGAGCATTCAGGGCACTGGCCCCTTGCTATGAGCACTTGTGATATAACCCACTCGCACTGACTACGACTTGAAGCTCTCTCCACCAAACCCCCCATCACCCCCCAACCCCCGCCCGCCGTCATACAAAAACACACACACACAACACGCTCTACAGCACATGGCTCACTGCATCACTGACATTACTAACTCTAATGATGAACCTGGTTCTCAGAAGGAAACAATGTAAATCGCTTCATTCACAATAACTCAGACATAAATACCCATTAATTCTCTCTGATGGGGAAAACAGATGAAATCTTTTTATTAGACATAAAAATGGTTTTACAGACAAAGACAAAGACAACAACAACTTCCTATCTGGAATTTTGGGCCTTGGGTAGATTTTAATAATAATAATAATAACGATAGTAATAATCCTTTCATTTGATGTAGCGGCTTATCACGTCTTTGAGACGCCTCAAAGTGCCTTCACAGAATATATTGTAAAGTGGATTGACTGTGTATTTTGTGGGCGAAATGCGGCAGCCAATTGCACCCAGCAGCGTCCCACAAGCAGTCGTAAAGTAGTAAAGTTTTAAAGGTATCGAGGTTGTTGATTAGATCATTGGGACCTTGTATGAATGTTACTGGCTGTATGTTACTAAGGGAATGAGCTTTCGGCCTCGTCTGAAACACACCGTTGTGTTTGTCCATTTCCTAGGACCCGAGCAGGAAACAGTGATTGGGCTGTTAGATATATACGGGTTTGAAGTGTTCGACGTCAACAGGTAAAACCTCTCTGATCATCTACCCCTTTCTCTCTCTCTCTCTGTGAATTCAGTCGAGTGAACGGCTTTTCCCTCTCTCTTGCTCTCTCTCTCTCTCTCTAGCTTCGAGCAGTTCTGCATTAATTACTGTAATGAGAAACTCCAACAGTTGTTGATTGAATTGACTCTGAAATCTGAGCAGGAAGAATACGAGGCTGAAGGAATCCAGGTAGAGTCCACTCCACATCCTTTACTCTACTCTACTTTCACGGCACAGGTGTAATGAATATCATACGTTGACAGCGGGCGGTGCTATAGATCCTACAGGTTACATAAATGAGGTCTGTATTCCCTTGAGTTTAGAAGGTTGAGGGCTGATCTGATTAACGTGTTTAAAGTGATAAAGGGATTTGATAGCAGGGTAGCCGTTTACCTAATTCCACAAAGTATTAGGTGCTGGTTGGCGAGATCCAAGGCTTGGGGGGAGCCCAGAGTGTGCATTGGGGTAAATGCTGGAGTCTAACCAGCTAAAACCGTATAGCTCGCCACTGCGAGCGTTGTAGCTTTCCCGCTGCTTGTCAGACAGCACTATCGATGGCACGCTATGTGACTTTTCTTGTTGTCTCCATCTAATACCGTCCCACCTTATGCATCTGCAGTGGGAGCCAATACAGTACTTCAACAATAAGATCATCTGCGACCTGGTGGAAGAGAGACACAGAGGCATTATCTCAATCCTGGTAAGAATGCCCGTTTTTTTTTCGTTGCAAATACACCTGTCTCGCAGGATCTCACTCGTAGCGATGTCCTGCCACACTTCCTGCTCTCTGTGAGATAAGCGGCAGCCAATTTGAGCACAGCGACGTCCCCACAAACAGCTATGGAGTCCATGATGGATTTTATTTGGGGGATCGCAGGCCAGTGAGACTGTTTTTAAAGCTTTAAAGGTGTTAATCGGCACAGCAGATACTTTAGCAGGAAAGAGAGAAGAGGGAAGGAGGAGAGAGGGAGGGAGAGAGAGAAAGAGAGGGAGGGATTGTATCAGTTCTCATCCCATTGAAACATCTCAAAGTGCTTTGTGCTAATTCACTGTCACGTGCAGTGAGTATATTTCTGCCCATATGTGGCAGCCATTTTGTGCTTTTGTGATTGAGTGGCAGTCTTTCCCCCCAAATAAGGATGAAGAATGTTTGAGGCCGGGAGAAGCCACAGATTTTACATTCCTGATGAAACTGGAAGAGAAGGAAGGGTCGCACCCTCACTTCCTCACGTAGGTACTGGGGGGCGAAGTGGGGGGTGGGGAGGGGGAGTGAATGGGGTGGGGGTGGGGGGCGGGGGGTGGGAAATGATTGATGCTCCTTTCTATGAGAATTTGTCAACCGAGTGTTAAAGCAGAAGGAAGGCCTTGCAATTCTCCGGGATCACCTGAGGTGTGTTTCGTCGCAGACACAAACTGGCCGACCAGAAAACCAGGAAGACGCTGCGTCGGGCGGACTTCCGGCTCCTGCACTACGCGGGAGACGTCACTTACAGTGTGATCGGTGAGTGAGTGAGTTAGTGAGTGAGCGAGCGAGCGAGGAACACATTACTCCATCGCACACTGAGGAACAAGTGTGACTCGCCATATTGCTGCCCTGCCTTGGATCAGCTCACGTCGTACAGAATTTAGCGAGACAAAAGAAGACCGAGGGTCATCCAGTTCGCCTTCCACCATCCCATCAGCTTGACCTGTCGTGTCCCAAACTATATACTGCATCCCCGCCAGCCCCCACCCCCGATATTATTTTCTAACGGAAATCTCTCTCATTTGTTCTTGAAGCAAACAACATCTTCCGCTCCCACTGTCTCCCTTCCCTCGCGCTGAATTTCTTTCGGTTTGAATTAGTTTGAGTTTGAATCTTGCATGTACCCAGTTGCTCACTAGGTACAAAACTCAACGCACAGTCAGGCATGGTCAAATATCCTGATATCATCAAACTTTCCTTAACAGGTATATAACCAAGTATTAACAGCGCGATCCGTCTCTGTACAGTTAAACTCCAAAATGATGTACCGTTTCTTTTCTCTCGCTTAGGGTTTCTGGATAAGAACAATGACCTGTTGTACAGAAACCTGAAAGAGGTAATTACTTCCTTAAGGATGTCTTTTAAGACGGGCGGAGTCCAGGGTCAGAGTTCAACATGAGCAAGTGAAAGGTCAAAATGGGCACATGTTCATCACCTCTCTCTCTCTCTCTCTGTGTCTCTGTCTGTGCAGGTGATGTGTGGATCCAGTAACCTCATTGTTAAACAGTGCTTCTCTCTATCCGAGCTGGATATTAAGAAGAGGCCTGAGACAGTGAGTGCCGGATTCGATGTTGTCAGTCCCCTCTGTACCCTTGCTTTCACTAAAATATACTCCCGTCGTCCTTTTATAGGTAGCTACGCAGTTCAAGAACAGTCTGATGGGCCTGATGGACATCCTGATGTCAAAGGAACCTTCTTACATCAGGTGCATCAAGCCCAATGATGGCAAACAGGCAGGTACGTTACAGACATTGGCAATGCTGCAAAGTTTGGTCGGTTTTACTGTATTTGTCCAGAGGACAAACCTGTGAGGACTATGGCCCACGGAGGTTAAGAGATGTGTCCACATCTCTGAGTCTCTGATGAGCCAGACAAGCTGGTCAAACATCACTGCTTTGTGTTACAATGGACCTTGCTGGGATCCTCCTCTTTGAATGTGCTTACGATCACCTCCTCCCTCCGCCTCAACATCAGGCTCCGCCACTGTTAAGCGCTCTGAGACGCTGGCCTGTGTGAAGGGCACTATATAGATGCAAGTTGTTGTTGTTGGTTTGTCGCCTGCCAGACAACTCCACTCCAAAGAGACCCCAGAATTTTCAAACCAACAACTTTCCACGACTGTTTGTGTGTGCAATTGGCTGCTGTGTTTCGCTCACAAAATACACAGTCGATCCCCTTTAAAGTATATTCTGTGAAGCGCTTTGAGACGTCTCAACAACATGATCAGGCGCTATATCAAATGCGAGGATTATTATAATAGTATTATTGCCCAAAGTTAATTATGATTAACTCTCCCACACACACGCAGGGCGCTTTGATGATGTGTTGGTGAGACATCAGGTAAAGTACCTTGGCCTCATGGAGCACCTTCGTGTCAGACGGGCAGGATTTGCGTATCGAAGAAAGTTCGAGATTTTCTTGCAAAGGTTAGTGGTTCGCTTCATTATTAGGTGTCCGTGTGTTGGAAAGTCCTGGACACTGTTCTATCATCTATAAATTAATCTATAATGTACTGCAGAGATTATAACAAGTTTCTCATTCACTGACAGGTCTTTTCTTCCTCAGGTATAAGTCCCTGTGTCCAGACACCTGGCCCCATTGGCATGGACCTCCTTCAGAAGGAGTTGAAAGACTGGTGAAGTACATCGGGTACAAGCCGGACGAATACAAAATGGGAAGGTAGGTGAACAGTCCACTTAGACTGTCATCAGACTCCGGAGCTCTGTCTCTGTCTCTCGTCTCTGGTTGGGAACCAAACTGGAAGGTCATCACGGACTGAGATGGTTCACGTCAGGGGGACATTCCAAAGCACTAACCTCTCTAAGGTTCCCTCTGAGACTTCTCTTTTCAAGGCTGAAGACTCCTCGCTAATCTAACCAGAGCTCAGGCCTCATTCCTCTCACACTGAGGATCAGCCTCGCCGCTCTCCTCTCCTCCGCGTTGCCTCGAGGGACTCGATGGCCGAAATCTTCTCAGTGCTGATAAGTGACTTTTGTTTTTCAGGACAAAGATATTTATTCGTTTTCCAAAGACGCTGTTTGCCACAGAAGATGCGTTTCAAGTCATCAAACATGCTTTAGGTGAGATAACCGCTGAGCTTCTATTCTCTCTCGCTTTCTCCTCTGCTCTCCTGCAGGCACTGACTCGACAACAACTTGTTTATACAGCTTCCCTCACGCACAGTGGCGTCCCACGGTGCTTGGCTGCTATATATTTCTATGGTTTCCATTACACAGAGGATACAGTTCAAGACCCTGGTCCTCACCTTCAAAGCCCTCCATGGTCTTGCTCCCCCCTTACCTCTGCGACCTCTTAACCCCCTAACATGCTGCTCGCTTCCTCCGCTCAGTGGGTTCCGACCTACTTCACGTCCCCTACCCTCGCTCGCCCAACTATCAGAGGACGGGCCTTCTGCCATTCTGCCCCCACCCTCTGGAACTCCATCCCGCAGTCCCTCCGCCTCACCACCCCTCCCCCCCCAACCCCCTTGCTACCTTCACGACCCACCTCAAGACCCTCCTCCTCGACCATGCTTTCGATCACCCTGCTTCCGCCCCCTGCCCCCCACACTCCCCGACCCCACCCCCAGCTCGGGTCCGTAACTCTGTCTGTCCAGTGCCTTGGGACCGACGTGAAAGGCGCTTTACAAATGTAATTTTATTGTTATTATTGTTGGTTACTGTTCTCTCTATTGTACCTCTTTCTTTCTTAATTATGTCAACATATAATAAGAATTATTATTATTGTATATTAATAAGTTGGGTATTACCAGCTGGCTGCTGGGATGCTGGAGTTTAATTTTAGACGTTCCTCTTTGTTCTCCAGCTACAAAACTCCAGGCTAACTACAAGGCCTATCACCAGCGCGGGGTATATCAGAAGCAAAGAAACGCTGGTAAGAAAAACTGCCAATCCCTTGGTCTCCATCCAGGAGGCGAGTCTTAAACAACTTTATTTTCACCCCGTCGGAGTGTTGATGTTGCTAATGCTCAACCCCTACCCCCACAGCTATCAAGGTTGAGACGTACTGGAGAGGGATCCTGGCGAGACAATATGCAGCGAAGAGAGCCTGGGCTGTGAAAGTCATCAAGAAGTAGGTGCTGTTTGCTATAGTACTGATTGTAGAGTCCTGTAGCTCAGTGGTTAGAGCACTTGCCGGGCAAGCGAGAGGACCCGGGTTCCATTCTCAGACAGGGCGAAACCTTGAAGACGTGATAAGGCGCTGTATCAAATGCAATACTGTCCCTGTAAAAGAACGCCTCTCCTTTAAGAAAATGCCTCCGTGCCTTAGGGGAATTTTTTATTTTATTTTTCGGCAGGTTTATAAAAGGTTTCATCAATAGAAAGCAGCCCGTCGGCCCAGAAAACGAGGACTTTTTAGCCTTCACTCGGTCCAACTACCTGCTCAAACTCCGGAGCCAGCTGCCCAAAACTGTGCTGGATAAGTCATGGCTTAAACCCCCCGCCATCATGGAGAAGGTGAGACCGCGATGCACCGGAGAGAGAGAGAGAGAATGAGGGAGGGGAAGAGTGAGAGAGCGAAGGAGAGAGTGAGAGATCGAGGGAGGGACAGAGGGAGGTGAAAGGAGGGAGTAGGGTGAGGGGGAAATGGAGGGATATTGATCCATCGATTGAAGTTTCTCTGATGGGCTTGTGTTTGGTGACAGAGCTCCGAGTTGCTGAAGGTGTTACACACGAGGATGCTGGTGAGGAGGTTCTGCCGAGGCATCAGCTCCCAGAGGAAGTTTCAGGTAAACCCTCACACCATCAGGGGAGGGTGGTCCTGGCTGGACAAACAGCGGGAAAGCTGGCCAGACAGCGCTCTCAATGGCCAAGCTATGCTGGTATTAGCTGGTTAGACTCCAGCAGTTATCCCCAACGCACACTCTGAACTCCCCACCATCCCCCCCCCCCCCCCCACCCCACCACCCCCAAGCCTTGGCTCTCGCCGACCTGCGCCTAATACTCTCCGGAATTAGGTTAGCAGGGGGCGTCCCTCCAGGGAGAGAGAGTGCACATTCCATTCCAACAATCTATCTCTGGGATCTCCATGTGTAGGTGGGATGCGGGGAATTCTCAATCCGGTTTGGAGACTCTTAAACATGTTGTCCTTTGGATGAGGTTTTTCAACTCAGTCGTAAGTAGTAACTCCTCATGGAGACAGTCGGTGGAAGCAGAAACCTTTGATCCTTTCGAGAACAAATGAGATGAATTTCTGTTAGGAAATAATATCTGGGGAGACAGTATATAGTTTGGGACACCATGTGTACAAACGACTGACTGCCAGGATGGTGGAAGGCGAACTGGATGGACACTTGGGTCTAATTTTGTCCTGCAAATTCTTCTGTTTTAATGTGATGTGCATCTGTTAACGGGTTTGTTGTTGTTGTTGTTGTTGCCACCGCAGATGCAGCAGAAGGCAGTGGCCAGCGCCATCTTTAAGGGGAAGAAAGACGGCTACTCACTGAGCGTGGCCAGAGCCTTCAGTGACACCCGGCTCTGTATGTACACAGTAAAGTGGGGATTAGGGGCAAGAGAGGGGAGATGGGAAACGGGAGGGAGGGAGGAACGGAAAGAGGGGGATTAGAAAGGAGGGGAATAGGAAAGGTGGGAGAGTGAGGGAGGGGAGAGAAAGATGGAGGGGGTAGACAGAGAGAGGGGGAAGAGAAGATGGTGGGGAAAGGGGGGGGGGGGAGAAGGGAAGCTCACTGAGGGTCCTGTGACTGACTGACGCTCTTGTCCTGGTGGCAGGTGAGCAAGACGTGAACCCGAAGGCCTATCAGCTGATCCGGCACGAGCGACTGAGGGTGAGGGGGCCAACAGGGGGCAGCGCAGCGATGATGATGATAATAATAATAATAATCTTTGCATTTGACCCAGCGCCTTATCGAGACATCTCAAAGCGCTTCACAGGATACACTGTAAAGTGAATTGACTGTATATTTTTTGGGCCAAAAATGGCAGCCAATTGCGCACAGCAGCGTCCCCACAAACAGTCGCGGATTGAAATCGAATATACATCATATACATAGATTTATTATCTATATTATGTATATTTATTCTATTTTTTTGTACATAGTTATTCTACGTGTGTCATAAATATATTTGATAAAGCTGTATGAAATGTGAGGATGATGATGGTGATTCCCGCTCTGGTTGTCCGTGGCCCAGTACGGTGTTTCCGTGGTTAAGTACGACCGGAACGGTTTCCGAGCGAGGCAGAGACAGCTGCTCCTGATGCAGACGGCGGCCTACGTGGTGGAGGAGGCCAAGATCAAGCAGAAGATTGAATACGCTACGCTCAAAGGTGAGACCATCGACCTGGTGGGCTCACCCCCACCCCCAGGCCTGATCCCTCGTGTCTCAGTCAAATATGTATGGAATACGCATCCAGCGCTGTTGCCTCCGAGTCAGGAGGTTGTGTGTTCAAGCCCAAAGTTGAGGACTTTAGGAGCTCGCAGTCTGTACCCCATTATCGGACGTGTGTCCTTCTGATGAGCCGTTAAGCCGAGATCCCACCGTCCTGTTCGACCGGACATTAAAGGGTTTATAATCTCCTGCGAGACTAACCGGGTCACATTCGCACTGTGTTCAAACCTTGGCCCCCGTGTCTACCTACAAAAACAAGTCACTACACTGACAGCAATTACTGTCAAATGCCTTGAGAAGTTTCAGTGATAAATGTCTCTCTTGCTCTCTCTTTTTCAGGTGTTTCTGTCAGTAACCTTAGTGACGGGGTCTTTGTTATTCACGTCCCCTGTGACGACAACAAGCAGAAGGTAGCCCTCTCCCCCCAACCCCACACACAGTCTTATTCCTCTCTGTGGGATGCTTCGGGTGCATGTTTCATTGCCTGTCTATGCAAGTCACTACACTACAAAGTAACTCATTCAATCTTGCGGGTCAGCCTGGCTCAGTTCTCACCTTCAAAAGGGGGTGGGGGGGGGGGGGGGCGGGGGGTAAGGAGGGCAACAAAAACAACAAATTACATTTACACAGAGCCTTTCACTTTGGGAGGATGTCCCAAGGTACTGGACAGTAAGGGATTTGCACCCCAGCTGGTGGTTGGGATCAGGAGGTGTGGAGAGCGGGGGGTTGAGGGTGACCAAAGGCATGGTTGAGGAAGAGGTTCTTGAGATGGGCTTCGAAGGAGGCGAGGGTGGGGTGGGGGCGGGTGACAAGTTTAAGGCACTGTGGGATAGAGTTCCAGAGGGCGAGGACAGAAAGGCTGAAGGCCTGACCCCCGATGGTGGGGTGGGCGGGTGGGCCGGTGGGGGACGTGGACAGGCCTGGTCGGGAAGGGGAGAGGAGTGAAGGGGGAGCTTCCTCTGTGTGGCCATGTGTCAAGCCCACATGTCTGTGTACAGGGCGACGTCATTCTGCAGTCGACTGCGTGTTTGAGACCGTGACCAAGCTGTGCGTGGTGGCCAACAAGCAGAGCTGTGTGCGGATTGTGCAGGGCAGGTAGGAGCGCGCGGACATCAGCGTGCGTGTGCGTGTCCAGCCAGTGCAGTCCAGCCTGTAACAGAGCGTTGCCGTGTGTGGTGTGACGTGTGGCGTGTAGTGACCGAGCCGGACACGTGGGAATTAATTCATCTTAAAAGATTTGCAGACTCCGAGGCTTTCGTTCTGTTTCAGCCTGAAATTCACGATCAAACCGGGGAGAGAGGGGACGGTTGACTTCACGTCCGGCCAAGAGTCCCAGGTCTTCAAAGGCAAAAACGGGCACCTGATGGTGGTGAGATGGGGGAAGTGGGGTGGGTGGGTTTGGTGAGTACACTGCTCTGGGGGGTGGTGGGGGGGAAGGAGGCAGTATGCACACAGATGTAGGGAGGAGGGTGTGGGAGCAATGTAGGAACAGGAGGAGGCCATTCAGCCCCTCGAGCCTGTTCCACCATTCTATCAGATCAAGGCTGATCTGTACCTCAACTCCCAATTACCTGCCTTTTCTCCAAACCCTTTGCGACCCTGAATAAACGAACAGCTTTCCACCTCAGTCTTGAAAATTCCCATTGTCGCAGCACCCACAGCCCTTTTGATGGGGGGGAGAGTTCCAGATTTCCACGACACTTTGAGCAAAAAAAGGGGAACAAAATACACTCCACGTGGAGGGGGGTGGGGAGAGGGGGATTGGGGTGCACACAGCGTCACCGAATCATTTGTTTCTTTCTCTCCACAGATGGTCCCAAGAGCAAAGGTTCGGTGACCTTACACCCCCCCACTCCCCAGTCCCAACCCCCCCACCGAACTCTGAGGGCCTGTGATGTTACCATCACCATGGAATCTCAATCAACCCAGCCGGACGAACAAGATCTTTACCTTCACATCCCCAACATGGCCGTCTCCGTCCTGTACTTCTCCCACCGCCCCCCCCCCCCCCCCCCCCCCTGGTCGAATCCACATTCGGTGAATCCATTAAACAGGAAAATCCAATGTTCATTCTTGAAAATCCCAGATCTGTCTGTCTGTCTGTCTGTCTGTCTGTCTGTGTCTGTCTGTCTGTCTCTCGTTCTCTAGCTCCAAATGCCTGTGAAAGTGAAGCGTCTCATTCGGAGACGGGGTGGCAGCTAACATCAGTTTTAAACTCTGTGAAAATGTGACAAAATGGAAATATATAAACCCCACAATGACCCCCCCACCCACTGCAATTTATAATGTATATAATCAAGTACGTTCTAATGTGACATTTCATAGACGGTAAATAAAGTGTAATATTACACCGAGTCTCCTTGCTTGAGTGTCGTGAATTCTGTGTCGGCCGGGCTCGCTCGGTCACCGCCGAGTCGGAAGGATTGCTTTCAAAGCCCTCCGCGGTCTCGCTCCTCCCTCCCCCTGCGACCTACAAAACTGCACCAACCTGTTCGCTCCCTCATCTTCGGTCCTCTTTCCCTCCTCTCTGCGCTGGGGTGGTGGGGGCGCTCCATCACTGCCACGTCAGACGTATTGTTCTTTGGATGGTAGGTAGGGTAAGGGATCGTGGAAGGTTGAGAGCAACAAAAAAAAAGAAGGGTCGAACCGACTTCAATCCCAAACCGTTCTTGTGAGACCAAAACCACAAATCTGCAGTACACGCACAGACCCGCCACGAGGCGGCAGTGAGTTCCACTCATCTCGACGGTGACCCGCTGGGCAACGCCACACTGATCTCTGCACTGGACACGGCCTCAAATGAAAATCACAGCTGAGAACACTTTGCAAAACTCAACTAAAAACATTTATTCAAAACGTCAGATATCTACAGCGTTTACAGGGGGTGGGGGTGGGTGTGGGGGACACGGAGAGAGGAAACCCGGGCGATCGGAAACACCAGGCAAAACCCACCCCGAAATCACAGGGTTCACAGCTTCCGAACCTTTCCCGGTAACAGTCTGAACACAGGCGACGTTTAACTGCTGAACATTCCCGCTGTACGGAAGCACAGAAACACCCCCACCCCACCCCCAGTACAAACACAGCGATCAAACGATACCGAACGCCGGGTAAAACAAATTTATATACACACGCGCGCGCAGTGAGTTCGGAGTCATACAGAAAGGACAAGGTGCTGGTTTTCTTGAATGAGCGTTTTTTTAAATTAAAAAAAAAATGAAATAAATCCGTTTCTCTATCTTGCACTAAGGGGTGGGGGGGCGTGTGGGCGCGGGGGCTGTCCACATGTACCCCCTCCTCACACCCCACAAGGCTCCTTTACTCCTCCCCACAAAAAAAACATAGAACCCCCCCCCCCCCCGCCCTTGCACTGGTTCGGTACCAATCTCACTTTACGCACAAACGTCCAAAACACTTTCCGAAGTAGATATGTAGTGCGTTGTTTTTCCAGTGCAGATTCCAAAGCACGGCAGAGCTTAACACCGCGAGCAAAACAATATACATGGTATATACACTCAAAATAAAATGGTACAAAGATATTACCCTCCAGCAAGCTTTTACCCTCGCACTGTCCGTGGGGCCGTCTAAACCGTGAGATTAAGTGGCAACTAAAAAAAAGATGGAACACGTTTCTAACTTTTAAGACAAGCTGCTTTCTGTTGGGATTTCCTCCGTTACCGCCGCTTTTCCACCTCAACGAAAATAATAATCCTTGCGTTGGGGCATTATTATTCCCGCGAAAGTCATCTGCCAATTGACTAACAAACTGGTTCCTACTTTCTGGCGTGTGGGGTAAGGAAACTCGCCTAAAGTTTTGCCCCGCCCGGCCGGGAATCAAACCCTGGTTCTCTCGCTTGCAACTGACGAGAGAGATTGCATTATAAACCTTATACTTACCTCCGTTGCCCCCTCCCTCCTGGGAGAGACTGGCATCCAAAGATGTGGTGGGAGTATTCGTAAATTGGCTTTTGACTGTGTGTAAAAGAAACCTTATACAGTCACTCACTCCCCCATAAATCTATCAGCAGATCTGGTGTGAGTTCGTCATTCAGTGGGTGGGGGGCGGTGGGGAGAGGAGGGGGAATTCCGCAGGACACCCCCGGCCTCACAGGGCCTTCCAGTCGATGGGAGTCTTCCCCGCCTTCACCAGGATCTCGTTGGTTTGGGAGAAGTGTCGGCAGCCCAGGAAGCCCCTGTGCGCGGAGAGGGGGGAGGGATGGGCTGTCTGTAGTACGTGGTGTCGCTTCTGTAACAGAGAGAGGCCGCATGTTAGGGGTCCGTAAGTCAACCCTCCCCCACCCCCACCTACACCAAAAGCAGGGGATTTTTTGGGGGTTCAGTCGAGCGTCTGACACACACGGAAACGTTACATGTTTACTGACGAGGCCCAGATAATACATAGGAACAGGAGTCGGCCATTCAGCACCTCAAGCCTGTTCAGCCATTCTATGCCTTATCTGTACCTCAACTCCAATTACCTGCCTTTACACCAATTACCCTTCTCCCCACCCCCACCCCCCGCCATGCTCACACCTGACCCTCACCAGGGCCAGACTCCCTCTCTCCCTACTTACCCGGTCGATGGAGCTCCCCTTCTTCTGTGCGTGGGCCCCCCACAGCATGAAGACCAGCCCGTGCTGGGTACGATTCAGGCAGGACACCACGGCGTCAGTCAGGGCCTCCCAGCCGCGCTCCTTGTGCGAGTTCGCCTGATGCGCTCGCACCGTCAGCACCGCGTTCAGCAGCAACACGCCTGGCAACGCGGGGCAAGGCAAGAGGTTAGCGACAGGCCTAGCAAACTGGGCACCCATACACCTCACTCCGCACCCCCACACCCCCACTGCCCCCCTCCGTACCTTGCTTCGCCCATCCGGTCAGGTCGCCGTGTCCTGGATGTTCAAAGCCTTCGATGTCGGATTTCAGCTCCTTGTACATGTTTTCCAAACTGCACAGAGAGAGAGAGAGAGAGACTCTCAATCAACCTCACGAGAGTCTGGCTGTACACACACACACGTGTACACACACTCACACACGTGTACACATGTATCTTGCAGCGCTTAAACTTTGCACACTAAAACTCGCATCGACCTGTATAAGTCGTACATCTGCCCGAGCCCCCGTTTGAGAGTTTATATTCTATGCAAGTTTGACATGACGCCTACTTGCGTTAGGTTTACCGTACTCTAAATTAACGTGCGTAAAAAAAAAAACACGGTGAGGCTGGGTACCTGGGGGGTGGGGGCACAGGTCGCTGCACACTGAAGCACAGCCCGTGAGCCTGGTTCGGTCCGTGGTAAGGGTCCTGGCCGAGAATCACCACCTTCACCTGTACAGAGAATACAGAGCATTCAATACACACAGCACAGCCTCGATACACAGGTCTGTAGGAGTCCTGTAGCTCAGTGGTTAGAGCGCTCGCTTTGCAAGCGAGGGACCTGGGTTCGGTTCCCGGCCGGTCAGGGCGAAGCCTTGGGCAAGTTTCCTCACTCCACACGAACGCGCCTGATAATAATCCCTCAAGAAACAAAAACAATAATAAAATTCGTCATTTCAACCCACGACTGTTTGTGGGGACGCTGCCCTCTGGTTCTCTTGGCAATTATCTAGACTCTGATCTTGTGTCCTCTGGTTACCGACACAATAACGGATAGAAGGCGGATTTTACTCCACTTGACTAAATTTGGTCAAGTTACATACAGAGTGGCTGGTGTTTTAAAACGACGTCAGAACTTGCATCGGTGTAAGTTCTCAGAAACAACACTCACATCCTCAATGCCACACAACTGCGTCCAGCTGAAGACCAGGTCGGGAGGCGGGTAAACTGTGTAACGTTTCCTCTCTAACGCCACAAATTCCATCAGCTGCGAGCAAACAAAGAACAGAACTGATTGTCAAGAGAGTTAATAATAAATAATAATCATCCGCGCATTTGATGAGACGTATTTTGGGGCGAAATGCGGCAGCGAATGAGTGGATTGAGTGACCACATTTTGTTTGTTTTAAGGATTATTACCCCCCGGATCCCTTGTTTGAGGGGCTATCGCTATTTGCGGGCTCTTTGGGGGTAGTAATAATCCCTCCAAAAAAAAATTGGGTCACTCAATCCACAACTGTTTGTGAGACGCTGCTGTGCGCAATGAATTGGCCGGCACGCTTTGCCCACAAAGGCAAGGATTATTACATGACCATTATTAATCAGAAGCGGCATTTTGAACGCTGCAGTCTGGGCGCGAGGGTTCCTCGTTCCGCTGGGTAGCAATCGCTCGCTCACCTTCATGAAGTACGGTTTGTTGAACTCCTGTAGCAGCTCTTTCTTCCAACTCTCCCCAAAGCCCTCGGGCACATTCCTGGCCGCGAATCTGAGCAGAGCCGCCCGTTTGTTCCTCTCGATGCGGGACAACTGCTCGGGGCTGAGCGGGCAGCTCGGCTTCAGTGGCTGGGTCTCCTCGTCACCCCGGTCGACTCTGGCCTTCTTTCCGGGAGCCACCTGCTGACAGAGGGGAAAAGCCACAGAGTAAGGACAACCGAGCAGAGATGGCAGCCGGGCCTTAGGTCAGCAGAAAGATCGGGAAGAGCCTGTAGTGTTAGTGGTTACAGCACTCGCCTCGGGGTGGGGGTGGTGGGGTGAAACCTCAGGCAAGTTTCCTTACTCCACACACACGCGCCTCTGTTTACTTAGGATCCCGGTTGTCCGGCGATTGATGGATCATTGGGGGGGGGTAATAATCCCTTCGAACAATAAATAGATAAGTGAATGATTTGGTCGCTCGACCCACGACTGTTTGCGGTGGTTCACCGCCGGGCGCCATTGGCTGGCGCGTTTGACCCACGCAATACACAGTCACTACACTTTACGGCATATTCTGCGAAGCGCTTTGAGACGTCTGAAGGACGTGATCAGGCGCTGTGTCAACACACGGGGAGGATGAGGATGATGATGATGATCTGACCCCCCTCACCCCCCCCCCAGGCTGTGAGTGAGGGACCGGAAGCCAACACGCTGCTATTTCGCGGCAAAATGCTGACAGGCCCCGCCCCCCATTCACAAAGCCGCGGCGGCCGCTCCCATTGGCCGAGACAGTGGAACACACAGTAACAATGTTTGTCACTGATACATTGAAGCCGTTCGGAGTCAAAGAGTCTGAGCGGCAAAAGGGGCCCCGGGGGGGGGGGGGGGTCTGTGTGTGGGGTCTGTGTGAGGGTGTGTGTGAATGTGTGGGGGGGGGGTCTGTGTGTGTGTGGGGGGGTCTGTGTGGTGTGGGGGGGGGTCTGTGTGTGTGTGGGGGGGTCTGTGTGAGTGTGAGGGGGGTCTGTGTGTGTGGGGGGGGTTCTGTGTTTGTGTGTGTGGGGGGGGGGTTCTGTGTGTGTGTGTGGGGGGGTCTGTGTGAGTGTGAGGGGGGTCTGTGTGTGTGTGAGGGGGTCTGTGTGTGTGTGTGAGGGGGTCTGTGTGTGTGTGTGTGGGGGGGGGTCTGTGTGTGTGGGTGGGGGGGGTTCTGTGTGTGTGAGGGGGGTTCTGTGTCTGTGTGTGTGGGGGGGGGGGGTTCTGTGTGTGTGTGTGGGGGGGGGGTTCTGTGTGTGTGTGGGGGGGGTCTGTGTGTGTGTGGGGGGGGTTCTGTGTGTGTGGGGGGGTCTGTGTGTGTGTGTGGGGGGTTCTGTGTGTGTGGGGGGGGTTCTGTGTCTGTGTGTGTGTGTGGGGGTGTTCTGTGTGTGTGTGGGGGGGGGGGGGTTCTGTGTGTGTGTGTGTGGGGGTCTGTGTGTGTGTGTGTGAGGGGGGGGGGTTCTGTGTGTGTGTGTGGGGGGGGTCTGTGTGTGTGTGGGTGGGGGGGGGGAGAGAACTTCTAAACAACTCCCCTTTCGCTTATTTCAAACCCATCCCCCCCCCCCCACTCCCCCAAACCCCCAGTAAAAAGGGTTTTTTTTAACCCCAAAGAGAGAGATGAACGGCAGTTGAATATTTCGGATTGTAATAATATAATATATAAATAAAAAACCACCACTAATAATGAACAGAAACGAAACGAACAGATGGGACGGAAACTGTACTATATATTTTTTTACACACACACACACACACAGGGAAAGTCCAACAACCCGAAGGGTTTGAGTCTCGCGAAAAGCACAGAAACATTCCCCACCGTTTAAACCTTTTTTGGGGGGGAAAGGGGGAGTGTGTGTGTGTGTATGTTGGGGGGGGGGGGGAGGAGAGGAGAGAGATGGAGAGAGTGTGTTGGAGAACATAAGTTTTTTAAAGGACACCACACCCATTAATAACAATTAAATAAAAAGGAAAAGAAGTATTTTTGTTTAGTAGTGGGTGTGGGGCGGGGGAGGGGGGGTGGGGGGGGGATCTTTTTAACTTATTTCTCCAGCTGGATTGTGAACATGTGATAGTTAGTCGGGATTACTCCTGGTGTGTGTGTGTGTGTGTGGGGGGGGGTGGGGTGTGTGTGTGTGTGGGGGGGGGGTGTGTGTGTGTGTGGGGGGTGTGTGTGTGGGGTGTGTGTGTGGTGTGTGTGTGTGTGTGTGGGTGTGTGTGTGTGTGGTGTGTGGGGGGGTGGTGGTGTGGTGTGTGTGGAGGTGTGTGTGTGGGGGTGGGGGGGTGGGTGTGTGTGGGTGTGTGTGTGTGTGGGTGTGTGTGTGGTGTGGTGTGTGGGGGGGGGGTGGTGTGGTGTGTGGGGGGGGGGGGGTGTGTGTGTGTGTGTGTGTGGGGTGGGGGGTGTGTGTGTGTGGTGTGTGGTGTGTGTGTGTGTGGTGTGTGGTGTGTGTGGTGGGGGGGTGGTGTGGTGTGTGGGGGGGGGGGGGGGGTGGTGTGGTGTGTGGTGGGGGGGTGGTGTGGTGTGGTGTGTGGGGGGGGGGGTGGGTGGTGTGTGTGTGGGGGGGGGAGGGGGGTATGTGTGTACCTGCGGTGGGTTCTCCTCCTCTCCATTCCCGGAGACCTCAGACGGGTTCCTGGTGTTGGTGTTGGTTTTGGAGCTGAAATACGATGCGATGGTTTTCTGACCGATCATCTCGAGACACCGCCGACTGATAGCGTTCGCTCTGTACGACTCCAAAGACAAAAAAACCCAAAGCGCATCTGTCTCTTTCACCAAAAACAGTGACTTTCTCATTGAAACCGCCCCCACGAGTGTTTTTTGGCGCCAGATTTCTACGCAAGCGCACAGACACACAGACAGACACACAGACACACAGACAGACACACAGACACACAGACAGACACACAGACACAGACACACAGACACAGACACACAGACAGAGACACAGACACACAGACAGACACACACAGACAGACACACACACAGACAGACACACACACACACACACACAGACAGACACACACAGACAGACACACACACAGACAGACACACAGACACAGACACACAGACAGACACACACACAGACACACACACAGACACACACACAGACACAGACACACAGACACACACACAGACACACAGACACACACACAGACACAGACACACAGACAGACACACACACAGACAGACAGACAGACAGATACACACACACAGACACACAGACAGACACACACACAGACAGACACACACAGACAGACACACACACACACACACAGACACACAGACACAGACACACAGACAGACACACACAGACACACAGACACACACACACAGACACACACACACAGACACAGACACACAGACAGACACACACAGACACAGACAGACAGACACACACACAGACACAGATAGACAGACAGACACACAGACAGACACACAGATACAGACAGACACACACTCAGTCAGACAGAGACAGACAGAGACACAGATAGACAGAGACACAGACACACACAGACAGACACACACAGACAGAGACACAGAGACACACACAGACAGACACACACAGACAGAGACACACAGATACACACAGACAGACACAGACAGACAGACACACAGAGACAGAGACACAGAGAGACACACAGACAGACACACACAGACAGAGACACACACAGACAGACAGCAGCTTCAATAAAGTTTACGAACTTTTAAAAAAAAACTTTATAAACGTTTTAAAACTTTCCCCATCGCGCGGCTTTGTGTGGAGGAGAAAGGAAGGTTCATCTCCTTCAAGGAATCCTTCTCCCAAGACCCTCCTATTCGACCGTGCCTTCGGTCGTGCCTTCCCTCCCCTCGGGGTCGGGCTCCTCCGAGCTAACGCCCCACGCGAAGGGCGCTGTATAAACGTGAGTTGTTGTTGTTGTTGTTGTCCTGGCCGACCGTCCCTCACTTATTACTGTTTCCAGACAGCGGCGAGGTGATGCCACCGCGAGGCGACGATGGACAAGTTTGCGATTAAGAAGAGGAAGGTCCCCGGTGACTGGAAATCAGAGCGGAGGGGGGGTGGGGGGCGCGAATCCAAACCCGACCCAGACCTCAGCGACCCGGCTCGGGGCGAGGGAAACCCGGAGAGCTTCGGGAACGACGCGGGGGGAGGCGCCGGAGGACCGGGACCCCCCCCCCGCTCACGCTCCTCTCGACCGACGTCAGGCCCGTCTGGCGGCACGTGGCGGCCGAAGGGCTGGACTGCGATTATGCGGTCATATTCACCCGGTCCGAGGCAGATGACATATTCCTGAGGCTGGAGGAAGAGCTGGAGTATTTTTCAGGTGACGTGCAGAGGAAATCGTGCCACTTCCTTCGCTAACTCCGCGGCTCCCTGATTGCCCGTCGGCACACGGCCATAATTATTTGAGAATGTCCCGTTATTCAACCGTATAATCGATTCTCGCACTTCACGGTGACGGGAGTGTGAAACCCCGGCGTTCGGGTCAGATGTTAAACCGAGGTCCTGTCCTTGCCCGGCACTGACCTGCTCCGTGTCCCCCATCCCCCCCCACCCACTACCACCCTGGTTGCCGCTCTATTGGGCCTTCAGCCTCTCCGGCCCCACCCTCTGGAACTCCATCCCTGAGCCCCTCCGCCTCCCCTCCGCCTTCAAGGCCTTCCTTAAGACCTTCCATTTCCACCGCATCTTCAGCCATCTTCCCTTCCCTCCTCCGCTCCCCTCGGCCTCCGCCCCTCTAATCCCTCTCGGCAGCTTCGGGTACAAACCCCTCGTTGTCCAGAGCCTTGGGACAACCTCCCAGCAACAACAACAACAACGACGCAACTGTGCTGTTGAAGCTGCAGTCAGTCCCGCGAGCCAGAGAACCAACGGGTTGGGGGCTCCGAGCTGGACGTGTGACCTGTCCTCAAACCGTTCTCGTTGTGTCTCGTTCAGGTGACCTGAGCAGAGTCCAGGTCTACGGCAAGTGGTACCAGATCCCACGTAAGCAGGTTGCCCACGGCGATCCCCGCCTGACCTACAAGTACTCGGGAGTGACCCTGTCCCCGAAGCCCTGGCTGCCGGTGCTGGAGAGGATTCGGGAGCGAGTCAGGGAGACAACAGGACACGTCTTCAACTTCGTGCTGATCAACAGGTACGACGACAACAACGACGACGACGATCCTGGCATCTGACGCGGCGCCTTTATCAGGTGGTCGGCACGTCTCGAAGCGCTTCACGGGATGCGCTGTCAAGTGAAACAGCGGCAGCCAATCGCGCACGGCAGCGTCCCCACAAATAGCCGTGGATTGAGCGGCCAAATTCTTTTTTGACCCCCCCACCCCCCACCCCCCCGGGAAAAGCCCATCGACTAACCACCGGGTTCCTCCTCACTGCTGGTAAACAGAGGCGCATGCGGGAGTGCAGTAAAGTTTCTCCCCGTCCGGGAAACCGATCCCGGGCCCTCCGGCTTGCGAGGCGAGGGAGCGCTCTCGACCCCCCGACCCCCCCCCCCCGTATAAAATGTATGGTCCCGACTGATACGACTCACGGGAGAGCTTTCCCTGCAGTTACCTTTGGGCTGATCGGAGGCTTCGCCTGTTGGGTTGGGTCTGGTCTCTTGACCTCCTGCAGGTACCAGGACGGGAAGGATCACATCGGGGAGCACCGGGACGATGAGCGGGAGCTGGAGCAGGGCAGCCCCATCGCCTCCGTCTCCTTCGGGGCCTCCAGGGATTTTGTCTTCCGGCATGGCAGCGCGCGGGGCGGAGGGTCTCGGCGGCGGCAGGGGCGGCTGGAGCCCATCAAGCTGCTTCTGGAACACGGCGGCCTCCTGCTCATGAACCACCCCACCAACGTACACTGGTATCACAGTCTGCCCGTCCGCAAGAGAGTGCTCGCTCCCAGGGTCAACCTGACTTTCGCAAGGTCCTGCGTCTCAGCAAGAATTGACCGTGACGGACGCCCTCCCCTCCAATCCTTTCCCCCCCCCGCGCGAACAAAGTCACTACACTCTGGGCAACGATGACCGCAAAGCGCCTCGTGATATGGGCCGTTGTGAAGCTTAAATAAAAAAAATCACAAGTTCTTTCTCCGAGTAATAATAATCATTGTATTCGATTTACAATACAATTTGCATGTGTACAACACCTTTCACATCGGGAGGGGGTCCCGAGGCGCTCAGCACAGTCCCGGCTCGGGGGTGGGGGGGGGGGGGTTAGCGCCGAGGGTAGAGTCGCACACCTCACGTCCATGAACCTGGGAAACTCTTGTTTTTCCTCACACACCAACCAACAAACACCCCAACATTGGCTCCCGATGAGCGGGTGGTGGGGAGACGGCGGGGGAGGAGGTCAGAGAATGGGAGAGGGACATTTCAGAGATCTCCTGGCTCCTCTCGCTCACGGTGACACCGTTCCCGAGGCCCGTGATTCCAATAAGCTCCGTGCATGCGTGCGTGAGAGCGAGCAGTCATTCAATCCCGCCCCCGGAGTTCGGGGATCGTTTAGGAGCTGCGGAAACCGCCGACGCGCAAATTGCGAAGCCTGACAATTTGTGGCGTGGATTGTGAAAGACAACTGGAAGACGTGGATGGAAGGGTTGACGGGGAAGAAGTTAGCTATGCCGATGCTCGTTACCTGGTGCCAGGCCGAGCTGGAGAAGTGCAATCTTAATTAAACGGAGCCGAGTCGCAGGACTCCTAACTTTAACCGTGACCGGCGTTTCTGAAGGGAGCTGGCATAACTCTGGATAAAATGTTAGGAGGTGCCAGTGTGCCGTGCCTTGCGCCATGAAGAGTTAAACTGGCTAAGAGAGAACAGAAGTGAACTTGTTATGGCACCTGCAGCTTGTTGTGTTAATTGTCGGCGGTGCCAGTCAAGCCCTCGTATCGTCTCAATCGGAGTCCTCCTGGAGCCCAAGGCCGGGCTGATTAAATAAGACGGGTGAGAGAGGACGAGGAGATGCAATCCCGGGATTGTATTACAGAAACTCACCCTGTGTTTTTTTCTTGACTGGCCTTTTCGCTCGCTCTCCTCATCTATTCCGCTGTGCGGAGGAGTCTTCCGTTGACGGGCAGAATTCGACGAAGGCTCCGAGATTAAACCAACGACGTCCTGCGACTCCGGCCGCTCGCAGGTCCACGGTCCCAGTAACACGGCGAGAAAGAACAAAAACGTCGACGACCCCGGCACGGGCTGCCAAGAGACTGAACGCCTGCGGTCGTCAGCGTTTCAGAAGCGAGAGACGTGCGTTTCGCCCGCTGCCCCGTGAACTCTGGATACCGTCACCACAGTGACGTTCTATACGTCAGCACGACAGCAGCACATTGTCCGTTGTAACCCCCCCACTGAATCGACGCGAAGCTCTACGTCTCGTCGCCTCAGTTGAGTGTATCGAGCACGGGAACGCAAGCGACTTTGGTCGTATCCCCTGTTCTTGGGTTCCTGACTTTATACGTTCGCCCGAACAGAATAAGCTGGTCCGCTCGGGCCGTCGCCCTCTGTCCCGGCCCGAACAAGCCGCGGAAATGCCGGAACTTGATCCAGTCGAAGTTCGCTTCACCGCGTGGCTCTTTGGTCGTCGGTGAAGTGAAGCGTCCAGAGGATGGGATTGCCGGTGGGTCAGGGGGCAGTGGCACTGGCCGACGTTCCTGCCGTGATTGTAGGCGACGAGCGGGAGGGAACACCTCTTCTCTTCTCCGGCTCTTGTCGTGTGTCAGTCACCGCCTTAGGGACGTGACCGGCTCTGTAGATCGTGCGTGCGCTCGCTCGCTCGTCTCTCTCTCCCTCTCTCTCCCCATCTGATTCTGCATCCAGAACACGGGTGTGATGTATAGACCTTCACCCCGTCAAGTTGGATTGCGTCTGAGCGGAATCCCTCGAGTTTTAGGAGTGAGGTGTCGGAGGAGACAGGCAGCTCCGCAATGTTCCCCGGGCACTGTAACCCACATTGTTCTCCCCCCCCTCCACCGCCCGCCTGAAAGGAACGTGAGTCAAATACAATGATTGTTAAGTGTTTCTCTTCACTTCAGAGAGAGTCGAATGGAGCAGCTGGGAGGCAGAGCTCGGCAAGTTGAGAGCAAGAGGAGTCGGTGAGGACGGGAGCTGAGGGCGGCCCCGAGTCACTGCCCCACCCTCGAAGTGACCATTGGGAGGAGAAGGCTAAGAGACTACCTGAGGCTTTCAGCCCCCCCCCCGCCGTGAGGGGTACTGGGGGTGGGGGAGATGTTGAGCGCTCTCATCACTGCCCACTTCTCACTCACTCCTCTCAGGCGAGACAGCCTGGCTCAGTCAGGAGCGCTCTGCGCTCTGAGTAACATCAGATCTAGAAACTGGTACAGTCTAGGAATACTTCCCGTGTCAGTGGTGGGGGTGGGGTGTGGGCATTGTCAGAGGCGCCGTCCTTCAGATGAGACGTTAAGACGAGTTTTCTGTCTGTGTCTGTTCAGGTGGACGTTAAAAGATCCCACCGCCCTCTCCAAAAACCAAAAGGGAGTTCTTCTCTCTCCCTCCCCCGGAGTGCGCTGGCTGCCAATCGCCCGGATAAAACATTAAAGAAAATAAATAAGTCACTACCGTTGGAGAGTACGTGCAGTGAGGCGCTCCGAGAGGCCCTCCTGACGCGAAAGCCGCTGCGTCAAACGTGAGAGAAGACGATGAACAGACACAAGGTCGGTTGGAGCAGTCGGGAGGCAGAGCTGGGCACGGTAAGGGGAGAGAGAGGGAGCGAGTGAGAGTTTAAGCGGGTTGAGGGGAAGGGAAGAGAGTCACGGGATGTCCTCAGCCAGACGATCCCACGCCGATGAACAGCGGAGCGGGGCAGTCGGAGGCAGAGAGAGTTGAGGGAGTCGTGGGCGCACTCGATGCGGGAGCAGGATTTCCGGCTTCAGGTCCCAGCAGATCTCCTCAGCCCGTCACGTCTCGCCAGGGCAGGGAAACGAGCACCTGGTCTTAAAGGGACAAGATGGGGCTGGTCGAAGAAACAGCTGGACGCTGCGATGGTGAGGAAGAGTCTGAGAGGATGGATCGAAGGGGTTGAAGAGGATCTTCTTGATCCGCACCTCTCCTGGGAATTGTCCTGTCCGTGTGTGGGTGGGATTCCTGGGGTTGTGTTCGTATCCAGCTGTTTCCTGCTCTATCCGGGACTCGCTGGTGTTTCCTCTTGTACCCACGGGTGGTGCTCGACCGTAAGAAGAACCACACGGGTCTGAAGCGTGGGCCGAAGAGACCGGGGCAAAGAGATTCTGCGCACGGCACCTCTCCTCCGGGAAGGATCCCATCTCCTCGGACGTCACCAGCCTCAGCTCGAGTTTCTGTGTAGGTTTGTGTTGTTGTCGAGGGCAATCAGGTTTGCGGAGGTGCTTGGCCGGGACCCGTAGAGATTTACGGCGCAGAGACAGGGTAGGCTGTTCGGCCCGTCTGCTCGTTCCCAGACAGGACGCAGACGCAAGCCTCTTGTGCGGATGGCGGCTCGGCCTCTCCTGGAGCTCACTCGCTCGGCTGCCCTCCTGGAGGGGAGTGGGAAGTAGGCTCGGGGTCCCTGGGCTATCAGGACACACACAACCGATCCACAGGGCCGGTCTGGCTTCGTGTTTTCGTTCCCGCCCTTGGACCTCATCGTTTTAAGCATCTTGCGCCCAATCCTTGAATCCTGCTCCTGTCTTCGCGAAACAGTCAGTCCCGTGGGAAAAGTACACGTGAGAGTCACTGTCAAAGCTACTTTTTGTGTTCTCACCGGAACAGGGAAGGACCTGGGAAAGAAGGTAGAGTGACGCTCCCTCATTCACGCACTGAGGCTGGCTCCGGCCTCCTGGCTGCCCCTCCTGCCCTCCCACCGTTCCAACATCAGTGGCCGTGCTTTCAGCCATTACGCCCCAAAACTCTGGAACTCTCTCCATCAATCCCCTCCGCCTTGCCCCCACCCTCCCCACCTACAACTCCCTCCGAAAGACCTTCCTTTTTGATCGTGCTTATGGTCACCTCCTCTCTCCCTCTCGCCCCGGCTCAGGGTCAAACTCCGCTACTGTCAAGTGCTCTGGGACGCTACCCCGTGTGAAGGGCGCTATATAAATGCATGTTGTTGTTGTTGTTGTTATTTTTGTTGTTGTTGTTGATGTTGATGTTGTACATGATGGGCTGATTTGGGACAGGCTCCAGCGAGGATTCCTTTACACACAGGGTCACTCATTCACGGCTGCACTGGGTTCCGAGGAAGGAAGGAAAGTGGTTTGAGGCCAGGACGCTAGGACTGGCTACAGAAACAGCTGGACGCTGCGATGGTGAGGAAGAGTCTGAGAGGATGAGATCGAAGAGGTTGAAGAGAATCTTCTTGATCCGCACCTCTCCTGGGAACTGTCCTGTCCGTGTGTGGGTGGGATTCCTGGGGTTGTGTTCGTATCCAGCTGTTTCCTGCTCTATCCGGGACTCGCTGGTGTTTCCTCTTGTACCCACGGGATGAGCTGCTGGTGGTGCTCGACCGTAAGAAGAACCACACGGGTTTGAGGCGTGGACTGAGGAGACCGGGGCAAAGAGATACTACGCACGGCACCTCTCCTCCGGGAAGGATCCCATCTCCTCGGACGTCACCAGCCTCAGCTCGAGTTTCTGTGTAAGTTTGTGTTGTTGTTGAGGGTGTTCAGGTTTGCGGAGGTGCCCGGCCGGAACCCGTAGAGATTTACGGCACAGATGGGGGAGGCCATTCGGCCCATCTGCTCGTTCCCAGACAGGACGCAGACGCACGTCTCTTGTGTGGGAGATGGCTCGGCCTCTCAGGAGTCGTGGACGAATTTTCCAGGAATGTTTTCTCCGGGAATTGCCCTGCCCGTGTGTGGGTGGGGTATAACTGCCTGTACAAAAGGTAAGAGCGACGTTCTCTCATTCGCACACCGAGGCTGACCCACGTGACGGGCTGATTTGGGACAGGCTCCAACAAGGATTGCTTTACACACAGGGTCATTCATTCACGGCTGCACTGGGTTCCCAGGAAGGAAGGTGGTTGAGGCCAGGATGCTGGGACTGGTGGAAGGAACAGCTGGACGCTGCGATGGTGAGGATGAGTCTGGGAGGATGAGATCGAAGGGGGTGTAGAGGATCTTCTTGATCCACACCTCTCCTGGGATCGTGTTCATATCCCGCTGTTTCCTGGTGTATCCTCTGGCACCCACAGGACGTTCCGGGACTCTACCCCGCGTGAAGGACGCTTTATAAATGTTGTTGTTGTTGTCGTCGTTGGATGTGCTGCTGCTGCTGCGTTCGATGGAGGAACTTAGATGGGTAGAGAAGGCACAGATTGAAGACGCCGGGATTCTCCTCACTGTCAACCTCGTCCCCTTCCTTGGGTTAGTTACACGTTTGATGCTGAACAACAGATGTATTCGAAACGTAGAGTGATGGCAATCAAAGTTCCGAGTGTGTGTGTGTGCGTTAGTGTTACTGTGCGCCGCCTTCCAGAACCTTCTCTGTCTGGTGACGCAAGGCCGAATCGGTGCCGAGGTTCACAAACCCAGGGTGTGAGGTTGACTCCTCGGGTGACTGTGGACCGGATGTCCAGAGGCTGTTTGTTCAGCACAGGAGTCGTTCAATCCATCAGGGACAGGCTCCGGCCTTGGCTCAATAACAGTAACACTAACCGGTGATGGTAATTAATGACTTGACACTAAGCAGTGATGGTAATCCGAACTCCACACTAACGGTGACAATAACTCGGGAGTTGACACTAACCGGTGATGGTAATTAATGGCAAAGGAAGAGCTTCAACATGTCTTGTTGGATCAGATAGATCTGAGGCGGGGGTTGAGCTGCAAGTCCCTCCACCTCGCTCGCCCCCACCACTGACTCGCCTCCTTCAAGATCAGTCTCAAGACCCTCCTCTTCGACCGAGCCTTCGGTCACCCTCCTACCCTTACCCTTCCCGCCCTCAACCCCTCCTGATCCCAACCACCAGCTCGGGTGCAGATCCCTGACTGTCCAGCGCCTTGGAACATCCTCCTGACATGAAAGGCGCTGTGTAAATGCAACTTGTTGTTGTTGTAATCCACGACTCAACACTAACCGGTGACTCGACGCTAAAGAAACGGGAGAGAGTTTTAACCGGAAAAACATTTATTCCTTTGCAGTTTGACGGACCCTGATTAAATAAAACACTCGGGAACACACTCCCTGCTGCTTGGCTCTGAGTAAGAAGCGAGTGTATAATTCCCAAGTTAGTGCAAATTTGCCGTCACCGATTGTGACGTCTCACACAATCTGAAACTCACGTTAATTCATCACAGTGTATAAAATGAAGATCATCAAGCACTTCAGACTTTTCCTCTATCTCGCATACATCTCTACAATACAGAACCTTTCAGGATGGACCAGTGTGTGTTTGTGTGTGTGTGTGTGTGGGGGGGGGGGTTATGGGGTGGGAACAAGCTGCCCTGTACCTCCCACCTGAGGCCCCTCGGTTGGGAAGGAGACAGACACCAAACAACAAAATCCAATCAGGTATCAACCAAATCTTGCATACGGGAGTTAACACAAACGGTATATCACGAGCCTTCCCTGCCCGACCCACTCTATCGCTCACTGTCCAAGGCTAGAATCACACTTATGGCAGACGTCTTAATATAATAACTAATAATCCTCGCATTTGATACAGCACCTTATCACGTCGTTGAGACGTCTCAAAGAGCTTCACAGAATATACTGTAAAGTGAATTGACTGTGTATTTTGTGGGCAAAATGTGGCAACCAATTGCGTAGAGTGACGTCCCACAGTCATGGATTGAAGTTACCATATTTTTTTTAAAAAAGGGATTATTACCCCCGAAAAGCGATCCATCAATCGACTAACAACCGGGTTCCTACTTACTGCTAGGTAAGTAGGAGGTATGTGGAGTAAGAAACTTGCCGAAGGTTTTGCTCTGCTCCTGGGAATCAAACCCTGGTCCTCTCTCGCTTGCGAGGCGAGCGCTCTAACGGGAAATAAAACATCTGAATCATCACTCTGGCAATTTCTGACAGGACGAGGGTATTTAACTGAGGCACAGGGATCCGTCCGATTCAGGAATTTCCGCCAGTAATCCCGCCCCGATCCTGTAAGTGTTTGACCACAGCTGATTACTCAACTGTCCCAATTCCAACACACATGCGAGAAACAGAAAACAAATCCCACTTTCCATGAGCGTGCTGATAACCACAACTACAGGTACTTTGAGAAGTCCTTACCCTCCGCTAGTTAATGCACTGATGGGTACCGTTCACCGTTTGATTCTCGTCGGGATGAAAGCAGAGCTGAGCGAGCGGGTCAGGTCTTGGGGCGAAGGCTTTGTGTGTCTCACCGCGAGGTGAAGTGGAAGGGACACGGTAAGAACCACACGCTGTGAATCCCGGCTGGCGTTGGGGCGGGCGGGCGGACGATTTGCCGACGGTAAAGTTCGGTCCTCCTGTCCCTGAGTCACCTCGGCTCACATCTAGTACAGACTGTGAGCAAAGCTTCTAAACCTGGACGAGAACAGAGGCTGTGTGCAGAGAGTGTAATCCTTGCTCAAGAGAACCTAAGTGAAATTGCACCTGCCACCCCCCCAAACCCTACCCACACCCCATGCCCTCCGCCCCTGCCCCAGCGAACCCATTACCCCCTCCTCCACCCAGCGCTGTCCGTAAACCCTCCTTTGCACTTGCCCCATCCCCACTTCCAACTGATGTCCATCTTCCACACCTTCCACCCGTCCCTCTGCGTACGACTCCCTCCCTCATCCCCCCGCAACTCCCGGTTCTCTTACTCCCAACAACGCTTCCCCGAGCTTGGTGTGAGCTCAACTATCCAGCAGACAGTCCCAACCCTAGTGCCGGAGCCCAGGAGAGAACTTGGGCAAAGAACCACCAGCTGGCACAAAGTGCCAACATTCACACAACTCTCAACACACGCACACACACCGACCAGTCAGTCTCCGAGCTCCTGTGCCAGCACGTACCGGCCAAGTTTCACAGACAGATAATGTCCCCTCTGACAACAGTTCTGAAAGCAGCAATTTGTTAATGGACTTGCCAGATCCCCCTCCCGCCCAACCGAAAGTTAACAGTTCAGTTAACAGTTAACATTTACACTGAGGTGAAGCGAGGGCACAGTGACCCACACCGCCCACCCCCCAGCGCCCAAACCCTCCGCCCCCACAGCCAGTCTAACTTGTGGCTCAGAACGCAGGTCGTACGTGATTGGGGAAAACATTCCCGTTCATTTCCCCCCGGCCGACGGCCTTTACGACAAACCCAAGTGACAACTTGCGAGGTATCTCTGCGCTTGAAAAAGAACCGAGCCTTTTCGACAATCTGCGCAAGCTGCTGACAAGTGCGTCGGAGGAGGGGAGGGTCGGGGAGGGTTGGGGTTTGCTGCTCTGGGAAGGGGGGTAGGTCTGGGGAGGGAGGAGGAGGAGCGGGGAGGGGGTCCATATACAACAGTACTTGTGTTGCTCCACTCTCTCTCTCTCGCTCGCTCGGTCCGAGTTCTCAACTCTGCCGCCTGGACAACGGGCGGTCGCGCTCGTAGAAGAGCAGGTAGGCGTTGGCAGCCAGCACTTCCTGCAGGCTGGCTCTGCGCACTGTGTCGTCCGAGATCCACAGCCACTGGCTGCCGGGGGCCGAGGGCGGGGTCTTGGCGGAGGCCGGCGAGCGACGGTAGGTGACAAAGTGACCCGAGTGGACGTCACCGTGATGGACCACGACGGACATCAGCCGGAACAGGTACACCGAGGGCCTGGAGAGAGAGAGAGAGAGAGAGAGAGAGCAGCAGCCGGTTCAGGGGAGAGCATGGCAAGGTTCTTCAAAACCGCGTGGAGTTTTCCCCCGCTAGTCAGCAGCGCGCTCGTCTCGCAAGCCACAGTACCGGGGTTCGATTCTCGGGCGGGATGGGACAGGGCGAAACCTCTAGGCAAGTTTCCTTATACCGCACACACACGCACGCACACACGTGCCTGTGTTCATCAGCAGTAATTGTTAATCGATCGGCGTATCGCTTTCCGGGGGTAATAATTATAATGCTTGTCATCAGACAACTCTCCTCTTCAACCCTCCTCTTCCCCCTCCACCCCTCCTGACCCCAACTCCCAACTCGGATCCAAAAAAAACCCCTGACTGTCCAGCGCCCTGGGACGTCTTTCCGACGTGCAAGACAAGTGTAATTTGTTGTTGTTGTCATATCAGCACGAGAGCTGAGGTGCTGATAGCAAGCAGCGTTCCCGTTGCTGCCTGTGGCTCTGGGATGATTGGGGTTACTGGTTACTGAGTTTCACACTAACTGCTGTCTTGTCTCTCCAGAGCCCTGTGAGGTACGACACCTTTGACAGTCTCTCTCTCAGCATTCCAGCCATCCCGTGGGTAGGTACGGCCTCGGGGCCGCTTTACAGAGCGTTCTGATGACTTGAACTCGCTTCTCGCTAGTTTGACGTCCCCCAAAGCACTGGACAGTCAGGGATCTGGACCCGAGCTGGGGGTTGGGCTCAGCAGGGGGTGGAGGGTAGGGGTAGGAGGGTGACCGAAGGCGTGTTCGAAGAGGAGAGCCTTCGGGAGGGGGCGGGGGGAGTTGAGGCGACGGGACTGTGGCATGGAGTTCCAAAGGATGAGGCTGAAGAGAGGCTGAAGGCCTGACCGCCAATGATGGGGCGGGCCGGGCGAGGGTGGGTATGGAGCAAGCCGGAGCCCTCTGAACAGAATTACTCTAGGCTTTGCGCTCCGAATGGTGACTAGTTTTCAATGGTCAGTCAGCCTTACTGCCTTGTTTCCCCTCTCAGGGCAGGCCTGTAACAATGGACCACTGTCTCCAACACTTCATCTCCTCCGAGACCATTAAAGATGTGGTGTGCGAGCACTGTACCAAGGTAAGTGGGTCTCAGCTACTCAACCCAGCACCCCCTGTTCAACAAACCTCGCGAAGGGACTGTGGGATGGCATTCCAGAGGATGGGGCAGAGAGGTTGAAGGCTTAACCGCTGATGGTGGGGAGGGGGGGGCAGGGTGGGGGATGTGGAGCAGGCCGGAGCCCGCTGAGCGGAAGGAGCGAACAGGTCCATGTGGCTCCAGGACATTGTGTATACAAGCAAGTTATTGTTGTCGAGAGGTTGTGTGATCAGTGCGCCGTTAATTCCAGCGAGCGATTCCTGCTGTTCTGCAGATTCGAGCTGGAGAGACAATGAACGGACAGACTGTGGAGAAGCAGAAGACGACTTTTGTCAAGCAGCTGAACATTGGGAAGGTGGGGAGTGACCCCGGGCCTCGGCTCACACGTTTGTTTTCCCCCCCCCCCAACCCGGATCCTTTTTCTGACGGCCGCCTTTCTTGTAAGAGCGAAGTTCCTGGGTGGTGGGGGGAGTAAAAAAAAAAAGCCCTTGGTTTCAAAAAAATTAGAATAATAATTTGGTGACTCAAACCACGACTGTTTGTGGGGCACTGCTGCCGCGTTTCGCCCACACAGTTAATTCAATTTACGGGTTTGTTCTGCGAAGGGCTTTAGTCCGTCTAAACAACGTGATGAGGCGCTGTATCAAATTCCGAGGGTTATTATTATGTTGTTGTTTGATATGCTGATCCGTGTGTGATTTCCAGCTGCCCCAGTGCCTGTGTATCCACCTGCAAAGGCTGTCCTGGTCCAGTCAGGGAGCCCCACTGAAGCGCAATGAGCACGTGCAGTTCAGTGAGCTCCTGTCCCTGGACGGTTACAAGTACCGCACGGCCTCTCGGAGGCCAGGACGTCACCGGCTGAGCCGGCCGGCCAGCACCGGCAGCTTCCCCCACACGCTGGACAGCAGCACAGTCGGCAAGCTCGGCAGCAGACCAGCCCGTGAGTACATGGACGGAAAACCAGCTCCCTGGGGAGACGGACACTAGAAGCAGAAAGTGTTGTTTGTTTCAAGAACGAGTGAGATAGATTTCTGCTGGAAAATAATATCTGGGGATACAGTGTAGTTTGGGACACGACATGTCAAGCGACTGCCAGGACGGTGGAAGGCGAACTGCATGGACCTTCGTTTGCCTGGCAGATTCTAACGCAAACAAATTCTTATATCAACGCAGAAGTCGCTGGGAACACGCAGATAGGTCAGGCAGCGTCCGTGGAGAGAGGAAAATGAGTTCACGATTCAGGTCTAGAACTGGGGGATGTTGGAAGGGAGCGCATTGTAAGGAATGTTCATGTCTTAATGACCTAACAACCCCCAGGGTGCAAACACCCCAGCTGCACAACCGCGGTACCCCCGAGGGGCTGCCACACCCCCCGCTCACACCCAGCCGCTGACCACACCCCGAGCTGACACCCCCGAGCCGGTGCCCCCCGACGGGCTGACACACACACCCCCCGAGCCGGGCTGACACACACACCCCCCGAGCCGGGCTGACACACACACCCCCCGAGCCGGGCTGACACACACACCCCCCGAGCCGGGTTAATTCTCTCCATCTCTTTATCCAGGGTCCGGGTTGTCCAGTGACAAGAAACTGCAAGTAGCGAACAGTGCTTGTTCAGCCTCTCTGCTGTCCTCTCTGGTGGCCTCGCCAGCTCTTGTAAGCGCATGTTGCATGTAAGTTCTTTCACTGTTGATCTTACAAAACCTTCTCTCCCCCCCACCCCCACTCCTGCCCCCCCCCCCGCCCCCCATGCATCCTCGTGAAGTGCTTCACAGGATGGGCTGTAAAGTGGAGCGACTGTATACTTTGTGGGCGAAACGCAACAGCCAATTACTCCCAGCAGCGTCCCACAAACTGCCGTGGAGGG